CCTGCTGAAAACACAGACCTGGATCTTATTATTTCCATTCTACTTGGCCCTCCCATCAGCAAGGCTCCATTGGACCAGACCAGAAAGTCATTCCAATTCTAGGTTCAGCATCCAAGAGGGTGATTAAAACTTTTGTCCCTGTAATCCAAGGGTTCTCAGCCTCAGCACTATTGACATTTTGGGTGGGATAAATTTTTGTCATGGCGGCCGTCTTGTGCATTGGAGGATGTTTACCAGCATCTCTGGCCTCTACCCATTCGATGCCATTAGCACCCCCCTGCTCCCAGTTATAACAACAGAAAATGTCTCCAAGCATTGCCCAATGTCCCTAGGGGGAAAGTTGTCCCCAGTAGAGGACCACTGCTGTGACTCCTTGACATCCCATAATATTTAGAACTCTTTTGGATGCAAGCAACATAAACCCAACTAAAGTAAAAATAGGAGGGGGGATTTCTTGGCTCAGGCAACTGGGAAGTATGAGGGGTGCTGGTTTGGAGCACAGCTGAGCTCCTGCCTCAGATAATGTTGCCAGGTCTCTCTCTGTCTTTCTCTCTCTCTTTTTCCCTTTCTTTCTTTGCCTCTGCTTGGCCTCATTCTCAGGCAGACTATTTCCTCACAGTGGAAATGTAGCAATTGAAGTTTCACATCCCACTGACCAATCAACACAGCCAGAAAGAGCTTTCTTCTCAATAGCTGCAGCAGTCTCAGGGAGGATTCTGATTGGCCCAGCCTCAGTCATGTGCCCATATCTAGGCCAGTCAGCATGGCCAGGATGATGAACTTCTTTGATTGGCTAAACCTGTGTCTGTGTGTCCATCCTGGAGAATAGGGTCAGCCCCACCAGTAAAGCTACATAGGATGAGAAAGATGAGCACCCCGAGAAAGAGGTGCTCTGCTACCCAAGGAAGGGAGAGGGGAGGACCACACAGCCAGACATCAATGTCCACCATTTCCTTGAGATGGCTTCCTCACCGTTTTTCCAATAGTCTCTTGAACTGATCTCTCTCCCCTGACTTAGATGAAGTTCCTCTAGCTGTTCAGTGGAATCACTCTCTGCTAGTAACATGTCTTCACATCCACTCTGCACCCTGCACATCCTTCTCTATAATCTTTCCCTCCCACCATGCCCCTGTTACTCATGGTCTTAGCATGCATCCCAAGCTCTGTCTTTATTCAGGCAATTTCTTCCTCTCAAAAACAATCATTTATAAAAGTTGATTTGCACAAACCATATGCAGTCTAGCTCTTGTAGTAAAAAAAACAAAACAAAACCTCCAGAAAACTACTCACAGTGATAAGATCTGTGGTCTAGTGCTAACTTGCAGGGAAAGCTGCATCTTCTCGGGACACCTTGAGGATCTTGTCTGAAAATTGGGTGATTGAACAAGTAAAAGAGGTGGCTCCTCTTTCTTTTTTCCAAAGAGAGAAAAGCTATTCCTCACAGAGCCTAACTCTAATTCTCTGCTTACAGAAATCCAAGCTGCATCTGAACTACCCAAGGAAAAGTGTACTCTAGCAGAGGAGCAGACCTTGAAAGTGGATGGTCCCGTCACCCACGACACGGATTCCAACAGCCGGAAGGCTTGGCAGAGTCTGAAAGATAAAGGGGAGGTCCAGACGATGGCAATCACAGAGAGAGTCTCGGGGGAGTTTAGTCAAGTCCAGGTGGGGAGGTACCTCCTAAAAGACATCCCCAGTGAGAGCATGCTGCACATCTGAATGACCAACCTTTGAATGGAGGACACAGGACTGTACCGATGTGTGATCTACCAGCCTCCCAAGGACCCCATCATCCGGTTCTACCCTGTCCACCTGGTGGACCAAGAGTGAGTAACCTGGGGGTGGGGGGTTGAGGGTGGGGACAGCCAGGACAGGTGGGGGTAGAGCAGTGGTGGTAGCACGAACGGGGCTGTGGCTCAGGATTTCTAGAAGTCTGTGCTCCCCCAGAAGCTCCCTGTCTCTCATTTGAGGTCCTTGAGAGACATTTGGTCCAACAGTAAGAAGGGGCTTCTTTGTATGGGATTCCTCTTGGGGAGTAGAGCCTAACGTGCTATGCTGTTGTAGGAGGTGGGTGAAAGGTGAGCGGTGGACTTGGGACAATTTATTCTCATTCTTCAGGTCTTCATGTAGAAGTCAATTCCTTGGGAAGCCTCTGTGAGTCCCCTCCCCCTCCTAAGGATGCATCTGAGGGCCCTCCTGTGTGCTTCCAAAGCAGTTCTCCCCAGACCTTACTGTGGGCATGAATCACCTGGGGATCTTATTTCAAATGCAGACCCCGATGCAATAGGTCTTGGGTGGGACCTAGATTCTGCATTTCTGATCTCTTTGATAGACAGCACTATTTCACTGTGTTAAGTAGTGGCCAGTTTCCTTATCTGTCTCCCCTATTCATATCTGAGAACCTTGAGGGCAAGACCTGTGCCTTGTTCAGCTCTATATCCCTAGCAACTAATGAAGTGCCTGGCACACAGTAGGCCCTCCGTAGATGTTGATTGGATGAATTAAGGAAAGCAGATTAGAGGGAGGCAGGTTCAAATTCCTAGCACCTGTGGAATTCTAAGCCGAAGGAAGACAAGATACATATGCAATATATTAATAAAGATAACTTGTAAAGCAATATGCCACAGGTACAGGTGAGTGCAAGGCAGAGAGAATGGTATAAAGTAATCAGGGAATTATTCTCGAAGAAGGTGGGGGCATATGGATTGGTGAAGAATAGTAGGCAAGTGCCTTTCTAAGGACATGAATAGCCTGGAAATTCCTTTCTTGTTCCCTATCCCCCTCCCTCCCTCTCTCCCTCTCTTCCTTCTTTCCTTTTTACTGTCTCTGATCCAGACAGATGCCACACTATTTCTTTAATTTTAGCAAAAGGAAACCTTGCTTCATGAATGGCCATGTTCATTTCCCTCCTGAGTTCCATTTACCCTGCCACTCATCCATCCATTTGTCCAACCACCCAATGTGCCTTCTTACAGATCCTTCAGGTACCCCTGCCTCAGGTGAGAATCCTACCCAGAACTTGGCTCAGATTCCCACCCTTCCTCCTATCACCACCAAGTACTGAAGCAAGCTCCATCCCAGCCCCAGGACTGTGACCCAACGCCTCCCCATGTCAGCTACCAGCGTCTCCTCTCCTGGCCTGAAAGTCACCGCCCACAAATGTGACAGATGTCACCAGGTATGGTTTCCAGGTCTCTGGGCCCCTGGTTTGGACACCAAGCCCTTTGATTCCCAGTCCATGGGCTGAGAGTGAGGGATGGGAAGGGTGCAAGGCAGGGGTGGACCTGAGTCACCTCAGTTGGGTGGACCTTCCTAGGGGAGGAAGGAGGTGGTGCTGGAGTGAGGAGGCAATGGTGAGGCTGCCACTCTCCCCATGGTTCCCCTCTGTTTTTTTTTTTTTTTTTT